TGCAAGCAGGTTACAAAACCAGCTTGCCAGGCTCCTTTCTGGCAGGAAACCCGCCTGGAGTCCGGCCAGCTCCTCCAGCTGACTCCTTGGCTGCCCGGCTGCAGGTCTGTCCCAAAAGCAGGAACCCGAGGCTTCCTGGCTCCCGAGACAGCTGGTTCCTGGCATTGCGAGTCTTAACACTGCCTGATGCTTCCCACAATAAAAGCCCTTTTGTGGCTACTTTGAAGTTTGTCAAACTTTACCTACTTTCTCCAAAATATTATCAGACTATTTTTATTGTCAGCACTATTTTCAGATCCAGCCACAAAGGTCCAGCTGTTTCCCAGGATAAACTTAAGGAAAACTTGTTCCTGCTTTTTGGTCATTAGACGTAGTAGGAGATCTTGTCCCGGAGATACTTCAGAGCTTTGGAGCATTTGGCTTTGGCAGGGGGCAAATCTTGTGGCTGAGGAGCCGCAAGTCTCTTGCTGACCGCTGAGAAACCCGGCACAGCTGAACAGAGCAACTTTTAATTTCCTCATCTCATGTTAAATTCTTTCCACCTCTTCTGGGAATGAACCAAGGCAGCACCACACATACGTTCTCCCCTTCTGTTTTATAAGTTCCTATCTCCAAAAAAAAAAAAAAAAAAAGCTTTCTTTCGCTTTGGCACTGAGTGCCTATAAGGGATGAAGAACCTCAAGTGAGTGCTGTGCTTCCCGCAGCACTAATGAGGCCAGGAATCGTGTTCCTTCACCTATGGATCAGATGTGATGATGACTCAGATGTGTCCTCAAGATGAATTTTGACATATTCTGGCCATTATGTGGATTCACAGCATCCTTGTCAGATTCCTCTGCAAAGCCCGCTGAGATCAGGAGTGTGACATAATAAATCAACTTTGTCAACAGGCCAGAAATAGGTCATTGCCACTGTATCGATTTTTTCCCTCCGGTTATATAAGGTTGGCGTGCCCCTCTCATCGCCAGGAACAGCCGTGTGGCTGAGGTCCTGGGTATGTCACCACTCTGGGGGGATGCACATCCTTGGGAGCGAGCAGCCAGCCCGGTGCTGCCGTTTGGAAGGGGAAGGACCCTGGTGCATCATAAGCTGGATGTGACTCATGATCTTCCAGGCGGGTTGCTCAGACATGATGCTCCACACCCTTATAACGCTCCTGAAAATAGGCATGCCCGTGGGGGCTCCCGCTTTCCCAACTGGGTCCTAAAGTTTCCCTTGCTGGATGCAAGAGGAGAGCAATGAAGCAAGTTCTGAAACAAGCCGAAGCATCGCACATGAACACCTGCAATCGGGCATGGGATCCCACACGTGGGCTGGGGGAACGGGCTTGCTTTTATCTCTCCTGGGCTTTGCTGCACAGCACAGCGAGCTGATGGAGGGAATCACTTCAGGCAGCAAGGCCTCACCTTGCTGCTCCTCAGGGTGCGGGGTGGCCTCAGGGACCAGCGAGGTGGCCGGGTGTCCCCTTTCTGGTATGGGGTGTGGGGTGGCCTCAGGGACCAGTGAAGTGACCTGGTGTTCCCTCCATGATTCAGGATGTGGGGTGGTCCTGGGGACCAGCAAGGTGTCCTGTCTGTGCTTTGAGTTATGGGGTAGACCTGGGAACCAGTGAGGTGTCCTGGTCTCCCCTCCATGGCTGAAGGTGCAGGGTGGCCTCGGGAGCCACCAAAGCTCCCATGCTCTGGGGTATGGGGTGGCCCCAGGTAGCAGTGAGGTGTCCCCTGCACAGCTCAGGGTGGCCCTGGGGACCAGCGAGGTGGCTCAGGAAGGTGCTGTAGCGGTACGGGGGTGTCCCTGCGTGCGTGTGCGCCTGTGTGTGTGTGTCTGTGTGTCCCTGCGCGGCTGTGGCGTTGCCAGGAGACGGCCATGGCGGCAGAGGCAACAGACACAGCCCAGGCCCCGTCCCCAGTCCAAGCCCCGGCCTCACCCCCATCCTCGTCCCCGTCCCTGGCCGCAACCCTCTCTGAGGACTCAGCCCATGACTCGGCTCCGGACCCCGCGACGCTGCCGCTGCCGCAGCTCCGCACCCTGCTGCAGGACCTCAGGTAGGGAGCCAGGACGGCGCCCACGCTGCACGGGGACACAGGCCTGTCCTGGGCCGCGCTGCCGCCAGGGGCTCAAGCTCGAGCACCTGCTTTGCCCTCGGTGCATCTGGCCGTGCCCGTGCGGCCCCGCGCCGGGAAGCGGAGCGCGCCTGACCCCCACCTCTTGGCAGCCATGCCATCGCCTTGCACAAGGTCGAGATGGAAATGCTGGAGAAATGGTACCGCAGGCTGGAGCCGCAGAGCCAGTCGCTGCACCTGCTCTCGGACAAGCGGGACTCCTCGCCGGAGGCGATGCAGGTACCGCCGCCGAGCCCGGGCAGCAGCCGCATCTGCGGATACCCCTATTCCCACGTCTGCCTCCCCGTGGGACCAAAACTCGCCCTTGGCCATGATTTTCGCCTTCACTTCGGCCTCCCCCATGTCAAAGCAGATGTGGCAGGCGGCGTGAGGGCAGCGCTGCCTACAAACTGACTTTGCAGTGAGCAACCACTTAACCTAGATCCTGCTTGCAAAACTAGATGCTGCTGGCCTAGCTATAAGCGTTTGTTCTCCCCCATGTTCAAGCCAAAAGTCTCCCTGCCTCAAGCTGATTTTGAAGTAGATCCTCCATAAACCTGACTGATGCCAGGAAAGCAGGAGACTCGCCCAAGGCCATGGCAGCTGGGTGATAGGGATGCTGTGCTCCTCCTCTTCTCCCTCGTGGGGAAGTTCCACCTCGGCTTAGATTGATGTGCGTCCGCATCCGTGTAACGCTCGCAAATGCAGGTTGCTCTGTCCCTTCTCACTGGAGCTTGAGATGAGCCCTGACTATTGAGCGGATTTTCGCCTCCTGGCCTGAACTTCACCTTTTCACTGGCAACTCAGTGAAGAGAAATTTAAGAATCTTCATGGTGGAGCTTTCAGCCAGTTTCTTGCACTAGATTTTGGCCACTGCTTGAGTCCAAAGTAATCAGGTTCTGATTTTTTTTCCCAGCCCTTGGGAGCTTCACCCTTGGCCAGATGGGAGCAATGCCGGGCTCCACACAAGCTGTGATTGCTTCTGAGCAGTATTAGTCCTGAGAGCAAATTCCAGCCTACTCATGCTGCAGTGAGCTCAGTGTGTCTCACCCAGGCACTCATAGAAGACCTCAACTCTTCCACGTGGAAAGTTGTAAACAATGTCACTATTAATCAGCATCTTTACCACAAAGAGATACTTCACCTGCCCATGTGAAGCCCTAGGCTTGGCTTTAACCTGTAGCCCTGGATTTGCCTGTTGGATTGAATTGAAAGTGCTTGTGCGGGAGGGTTTTCTGGGCAGAGGAGAGGACAGACGGGGCAGCCCAGGCGTGTTGCCCCCACACTGGTGCCATCTCCCTGTCCTTGCTGTAGACTAGAATCCCTCCCGCATGTGACCCTAGGGGTTGTTGTATCTTTCTAATGGCATCTGCATTGTTCCTTGACGCTTGCAGGCACGTGGCAGGTTCAAATCCAAGTCGCGTGCTCCAACAGACCGTTTTGTAGGCCTGACAGTGGAGCAGAAATGTGAGCTGGTGGAGCGAGAGCTGGAGGAGACAAAGGATGAGATCCAGAAGATACAGGAGGAATCTGAGCAGACCCTGCGGGACCTTGAGGTATGGCTTTCCAGGGACATCAGAATCACCAAGGTGTTTGTTGAGCAACCTCGTTACTTTTCATGGCACTTTCAATATGCCCTCCCTCATGCTGGTGAGTCAGACTTGTCTGTCAAGGGCTGCTCATAGCAGAGCACTGCTATGAGTGTTCCGGAGTTGAGGCTGGGTGCCAGCACCTCACCTCACCACTTCCCTGAGGGCAAACACACCAACAGAGAGATGCCCAGTCTCTAAAGCTGCATTATATTATAGCCCAAACTAATAAAATACAGACCAGAAGACGTTTAAATGGAGAAACTCAGCTCTGCTGTGTGAGATGCTGGAAAACAAAATCTCCTTTTTGTCTATTCTAGAAGTTTTGCCTTTTTTGCCAGACATATTTTTTCAATCCAACAGCTCTCAAGATCTTCCACGTTTGATTTGACTCCATGCAGGGTCTGTTGTTCCACTGCCTTCAAGATTTGATCAGGGTGTGCTCCAAGTTTCCCATCCTGAGTTCCTGCTGCAAGCTCCTTGCTGCTGTTTCTCCATCCCTGCCTGCCCTGTGCTGTCTGCCAGGAGCTCCTCCTTGCCAAGAAGATCAAGAGCTCTTGGGAAAGGAGAAACCTCCTCTTCTTTTGGTTGGGGCCACCTGATGCAGCATGCAGCAGCCAGGACATGGGAAGCAAACAGCCTGGCTCTCCTGCGTGGCCGCAGGATGCATGCAGTGAACCAACAGTGCTACGTATTGCCCTTGGTAGCGATGTCTCAGGATAGACCAACAGACCCTGAAACTCAGGCATGAGAGATTTTTGTTTGTTTGCTTGTTTGTTTTTGTATTTTGGGGTCCAAGAAACAACAGTGCTGTATAAGACTATGCCATGTGCCCCAAGCTGCACAGTATGAACTCAGTGTTCCTCTTTCTCAGCAGAAAGTATGGCTGGTCCTTTCCAGTGTTCTCTACCCGCAACGCTTTCTGAACAAGGGATGTTGGCACCTTTTCACTGCTATGTGATTCTCTTTCTACAGGCAGCCATGGAAGAAGCAGATATTTGGTGGGCTGAGGTTAAAAAAGCCATCAGTGACTTCGACAAAGAAGTCAGCATCCTCTCCCAGAAGAAAGGTGGTACCATGGCTTCCGAGAAGCTGCTGAGATACCTGGAGGAGAGGAGCCATCAGAGGGTCAGTGCAGGAGGGCAATTTTTGAACCTGGCCTACCCTCTGTAAAGTATGTCATCCATACAAAATCCTAGTTCCTGTACTCATCTATGGCCTGCGTAAAACTTTCAGACCTATCTTGGCAAGCGTGTTTGGACAACCCTTGTCACACTTATCAGCCAGTGACTACTCTGGGTGCTCATCAGCCTGGTGGGCCACAGCCAGGCTGCGGGTAGAGACTGTACAGGGCTCAGCTCTCCAACCTAGTGGAGGCTGGGGAACTGCACAGCCCACATCTGTTCCCACATCTGGGTCACGGGGATGCTGAGCAGCGTTTCTCGCTGAGAGAAGTCCTTCTTCATCAGCCACAAGTGTGAAGGCTGCGTGAGATGAACAGGAACTGCACAATAAGGAGAGGAGTCCAGGTTCTTTCTCATCCCAGATTCTGCTGTTCCACTTTAACCTGCTGTCTTTTCCTAGGATCTGCTGAAAGAAAAGTTACGCTTGAAAAATGATTCACTCAGGAGTTACAAGAAAAAGCTGCAGCAACAGCTCAGGCAGGTGCGTGTGGCCGTTGGGGAAAAGCAGGGCAAGAGCAAAGGGGTACAGCCTGGTGCAGAGCTGTACACCCTGTCCTGTGCAGTGGCAGGGCCCTCTTCCTGCCTCTCGCTCTCCTCCCTTTGCTTCCAGCCTTGCTGTCTTTGCCAAAGGGCACTGTCACCTGTCAGGAGAGGTTCAGACTTGGAACGCCTCTGCATGCATGAGATAAGAAGTCTCACAGAGTAGATGTTGGCAGAGATCTGCACCCTGGGAGAGACACAGTTCCCTGTGGAAGGGCTGCTGGCATGGCCAGAGCCTGACCAAAGGGAACCTGCCCGTATTCCTTGGCTCCACGCTAGGACATAGAGCACGTGGGGAGCGGCATGTTGTGTCTCTCATCTCTCCCTAAGCCCCAGGTCTGCAGGCAGGCTGAAGTCTCTTTAATATGTCTGCTTTCACCACAGAGCAAAACCCTCCTCTTATTTGGGTTTTAGCTGTGGCCAGTAATCTGTAGTTGTACTTCCTTGGGTCTGCAGAAGGAGCAGATGGGAGAGACGCTCCGTGAGGTCCGTTTCGAGCAGCTGCAGATTAGAAACATGCAGTACCAGGAGAAGATTGAGGAGAAGAATGAGGAGCTGCTGCAGCTAAAACTGACCTCAGGAAAGACTGTCCAGGCCCTCAACTTCCATAAAGTAAGTGAAACTCTTAGTGCCTCTATTTTCCCTTCCTTCAGAAGGGAAAGGAGTCCAAGAGTCAGACAGGGAAAGGACTTTCCAAGAGTCAGACAGGAGCTCACCAGCAGCTCTTGCCTGCTTCACTTTCTCAGCCAAAGGATGCTGAACAGCACTCTGTCTTTTCACTGCTTTAACAGTTCAGCTGAGAGCTTTGCTTGACACACCACAGAGTGCCACATGCCTTTCCTAGCAGTGCTGTCCGCCTTCACTGCAGGCCAAAAACAGGGCTCGTGCTCTGCAACATGGCTATTCTACATCCCAGGGAAAATTCTGGTTGGAAAAAGCCTTGGTGCTGACCTGCACAGGAAAACACGTTTATAGGTAACCTGTGACGCTCAAAAGGATGTCATGAGCTGCAGCCATGCTTATGAAGCTCTGATTATATCAATTAAAGTGCTTCTCTGCTGGGAATATTTGCTTCTCTGGGAAGAACCCTTCTGTCTGGATCAGTCCTAAACACAGGCTGCTCTTTGGGCTGTGCTGTAACATAGAGGACATAACTGCTAGGTTGTTTGAAGGCACTTGAGATGCCATGTAGGTCTGTTTGGAGAAGGGTACCTGTACCAGCAGTTGACCCAAAGCCTGAGGAAGACCTGTCCTTAGGAAGCAAAGGGCTGGCTTCACAGCTACCTGGGAGCTGTGGTTGTGCTTGTTCACACAATCCCAATCTTGTATTCCAGAGGAGGCTGCAGGATGCCATGGAAACATCAGTGTGCCTGATGAAAGACATCTCCCAGAGGAAGGAGCTGCTGGAGAAGATTGAAAGAGAAACCATTCTGGCGGAGGAGGTAAAAAAGGGATCTGTTCTAGTGTTTGGGGATCCCTGGGAGTTCACTGCAGTGAGTTGAATGCTTACCTACCTTCATGGACCTGAAAGCAAGTCCTGGAGCTTCTATTTATAACACTAAGAGTCAGTAAGTTACAGAACAGAAGAAAATCCCTTTGGGGATTTCGGCCTCAGCGCCACAGGTATCAGCCATCAGTTTCTAGAAATTTCATTTCTTCAAACTCTTCATCTACAGTGTCCTCTCCAGTGAGAAGCAGCACCGCTGTCACACCAGTGTGGACACACACAGCCCAGCTGGGCCACCTCAGCTTTGGGCCGTGGGTTCAGAGGGCAGGTCCTGAGGCACAGGGAGATGCGTCAGGCTGTCCCTCCCAGCCACACAGCCAGGGCCGGGGGTTTAGTTTATCTTGATGGCCAAAAGAATATTTCTCTTGGATTTCCTTGCCCTGTTTCCCTTTTTCTTTTAGGAACGAGCCAAAGCTGAGAGCCTGAACAAGCAGCTGCGGAGGCAGCTCTCCGATTACCGAGTTCCCCCTGTTCTGAGGTACGTGCAGGAGAAGATGGCCATTAGTGACCTCCAAACCAGCCTCAAGGCTTGGGAGAGGAAGGTGTCAATCGCTGAGGTGAGTGCAACGGGGCCCAGTGTGCAGGAGCCTGGTGCAGGGAGGGGTGTTGGAGCCCTGCTGTGCCTGCCCACCTGCAGGCACCTTGGGCACCAAGGGGGTTGCCGTCTGCCTGCCGCGGAGCGTGAGAGCTCGGCTGTGGTTTCCCTGATGTGTAACAGAGCTGGAGGCGCTTCCTGTTTACAAAGCAACCATCACTTCCTGCTCCAAGGAGAGAGGCCGAAGCTCTAACACTTGAGCTCAGAAGGGAAACCAGAGCAAGGACTCAGTTAATTTGACAGGAAGCATCACCAGGCTGTTATACTGAAACCTATAATGTGTGTGAGGAGAAGGGGATATGCAGGAGCTGATACATTTCCAGCTCTGCATATGTCCCATTGGTCCTGCATGGACCTTTTCCAACAGCCCAGTTAATTCCTGACGGCAATATCTGTAGTTCAATCTGATGACCTAAAAGTATTTCTCATACAATCTTTGTAGTATGTTTTTGAACCCTAGAGGTAGCAGTACCTGTCCCTACCCCTCCCTGTGCAGGATGTCTGTGCACATAGCAGTGTGCAGAGAGAAGTTGCAAGGGCAAAGCCAGCTCCTGGGATGTAGTATGGTGCTGTGCATCGATGTCCTGCTTGTCTCCCTTTCCTCTAACACGTGTCCCTGGCAGAGCCGCAAAACCTGGGCACTGACCTGTGCATTGCCCATGTGGCAGTGGCAAGTCCTGTGAGCCTCTGGGGAGTTGAGAACAGAGAGGCAAAAGAAGGAGCCCGTTATTGTCCCTGGTGTAACACAAATGAGACCATTCACCTGCCTCCTGTGGTTCCCTGCCAGCCCCGCCGTGGCAGAACATGTGAAATGGCCCTAGCACTGTGCAAATGGCTGTGGGTTTCCACACACTGCAGTTCAGGCCAGGCTAGATTCCCACCTCGGAGCTTCCTCTGCATTATATGCTTTCTATCTGAACATGTTAAGACCCTCCTGCTTTCTTCTCTTGCAGATGTCCTTGCAAAGCTACCGCAGAGCATGGAACCGGGTCAAGATGACCAGTAAGCAGCACTAGACTGGTTTGATGCTGCAGGACAACCAGTGGCAGCTGCAGAAAGAGCCGATCAGGTCAAGGAGGGCTTGCTGTCACATGGGTAAATGTAACACACTGCCAGCTGCAATGAGATGAAACCGCTTCTGCATGAAATGATAAAGAACCCCTGAACTCTAGTTGGGAGACCATCGCTTTTGTCAAGTCCCCATGTGTGCCAGCAAGCTGCTGCCTGGCCTCTTTGCAGGCCCTGCTAGGTCAAAGTCAGCAGTGCTCTGAGTGCTCCCTCGCTCCCCCTCTCTATCACTACAAGCACTTATTCTCTGGTGATCCAATGTGACATGTTTACAGGAACTGTCCTTTCTCCCTGGGCCAGCCCTGGTGATCACTTAATGCAGGAGGAACCAGAAGAGATTCTTGGGGAGGCTTCAGCATTTAATAGCTCAGCACGGGCTCCCACGCTAGAGGAGGGCACAGCAGCGTGAGCACAGAGAGCAGCTCATTTCAACATGACGTGCATGAACCAAGCGGGCTTTGCAGTCACACAAGGAAACCTCATGTAAAATAACATGTAAAATAGCAAAACAGCAAGAGAGGAACAGCAATCCTTTCCCCAAGGCCCTGAGGCTGGGATGAGTGTCTACTGGAGATGGGAAGTGTTTCCCCCTTGTAACAGTCAGAGTGTTCCAGTCCTTTGTGGGTTCTGGCCCAGCCTGGCCCATCCTCAGATGAGTTCAGGCGTGTCTTTTCCTGCTTGAGGTTGGAATCATCTTCCTGAAATACTCTCACTACTGATTTGAAAGCCTCTTCCCAGTCTTCAGGCAGAGTCGGCAGAACAGCTCTTGCTCTGACTAGTGTATGGAACACTGGGGCTCCTGCCCTTTCCGTGGTGGCCAAGATCCAGTCACTGTAGTAGGACACTATTGTGTACAGGAACGGCCCGTAGCACCTCATGCCACCTTCACTGAGCACTCCTTTCAGGACCCATCTTTCAGTACCCTTAATCTGGCACATGACGGGGTTGCCTGGGTCACCCTTTAGGAGACAAAAAGCCAGGGTTATGTCACCAGAGAGCAGTTCCTCTCCTGCCATTGCTTTTACATGTGGTGGGCTGCACTTGACTGAAAGGAGAGCAAGTTGCGCCGGTTCCTTCCTTCATCGTCACGGACAGCAAAGCACCGCAGGTTGAGGGGCTGGCTCCCTCCGGCCTCATAAAAGACACCATTCCTGGATACCCCAGGTGAAGTGGCCAAACTCCTGGGTGATCCACACGTCCCCAAGTGCCACCCTGGCCCCAGCTGACCTCTCCGTACACGTCACAAGGAATCCTTGCCCATTTTGCCTTCCAAGGATCGAGCAAGATTGTCCTTGGCACTGATCATGCCGAAGGGCCCTTGGAGAAGAGCCCAGTGGCCTTGGTGGTGAGAGAGGCTCAGAGAGCAGAGCAGCACCCTACAGCCCACGGGCAGACAGTTTCCCCCAGCCCGCAGGGAGACGGATGTCGCACATTTAGGCACCATCTCCCACGCCTGCTATTTGCAAGCTGTGCCGAAAGGATCTTTTCTTGTAAGGACTGAGCAGAAGAGACCCAACAAGTGTTTTGGCTTCTCTCCCAGCCCTGAGTCAGAGCTGCACAGAATGAGGGAAAAAAGGGAGAAAAGTGGTTTCGCTAGACATCCTCCCGGGTTGGGTCGGTGCCGCGTGTCCCTTACCAAGCAGCCTGACACGTTGTCCGCGTCCCTGTGGCTGCAGCACTGGGTTGTAGCGACCGTCTGCAGCGGGCAGAGGTCTATGTCCACCACGGTGATCATCCTCAGAAAACCCCCGCAGCACTCGCCCCTGGCTGGCCGAGAGACCCCAATCAGCCCTTGCCCTTGGCAGCCCTTGGCCTCCAGAAAACAGCAATGGGCGACTGGCTGGTGTTTCTTCTTGCCAGCACACGTGGAGCAAAGAGGAGCTCTGTCCCCTTCCCTCCCATCAGGGTTGCTGGAGGGAGGGAAGAGTGGGGCTACCTGCCGTGGGATGGAGCCAGCCTGAGACCCAGCAGTTCACGAGGTCCGACCTAGAAAGGCTCCTCTGGGGGAAGCAGATGGGCTGGACGGTGTCGTTGAACTCCAGCGGGACAGCCGTCCTGAGCAGAGCGATGTTGTTGCGGAGCGTGGTCTCATCAAAGTCCTCATGGAGCTGCCCCGGTGCTGGGGCTGCTCCTCCTGTCGCCTCTTCAGGTCGCTTAGCCCGGCCACGGCCAACAGCTGCTGCCTGCAGAGGTGGCCGGGAGGGGAGGCAAAGGGCTGGCCTGTCACTGCGTGTCGCGATGCGGGGAGGGCTGTTCACTGCGGGCTGGAGCAGAGCGATGCCATGGGCTCGCCGTGCTGCATGAAGCAGGGCCTGAAAGCGAGGGCAGGATCTGGGGGACTCGCCTGGAACAGGGAGCCAGCCTTGGCGTCGGCTGCGTTAACGCCACATGGCTGGAGTGGGCCCTAGCGTGACAGCCTTGTCCCTGCGCCTAGGGCCCACGTGACCTCCTAGAGCAGAGGGACCTGGCACGTTCACCCCAGCTCTTTTTTGGCTCCTTTTCAAGTCACTAAAGAAGGGGACAGAAATCTTGAGTCCTGAGCCCGGGAGGGATGTGGGACCCCCCGAAGCAGGGGGGATCACTCCTGGCTACTTTCTGTGTCACCCTTGGAGAAGGGACACACTAGTATGGATGGGCTTCCAAACCGCCTGCAAAGAAAAACCTGCTGAGGGAGCAAGCGAAGCAGGAGCTGGGGAGATCCGGGATGGAAGGAAAGCCTTCCAACCACGCATGGCCCCTGTGGAGTGGGGCACCAGGACACGGGGCAGGGGGACACGGACCTGCCCCGCAGGCGGGAGGCCGCGCTGAGCAGCCAGTGCTGGCTGAGGGTGG